TTGGTTTAACCACATACTTTTTGGATGTCGACCTGCTTAAAACTCTGTATTGACATAAATAAACGGTGTCAGAGCCCAAGGTGACCTTTCATACACTTTGGGTTTCTGTGCCCGGTGACCATGTGCCTGAGTGTGCAGCCTCTACTTCTGACATACGCAGTTGGCAGCGCTGTCCTGAAAAGAGTGACCGACTTACAGAGCCACTCATGCCGTTCTCTGTAGGAAGTATGAGCACCGGGGGCACTGCACCTCCTTAAGGAACAGGGACTGTTGAGAAATGGTACGCACAGGGAGATGACCACTGTGTTTGTGTCCTGACAGGAAGGGGCATTGCTGGTGTGGTTCAGGGTAGTGGTATCCACGTTCAGAATAAGGAGCTCTTCACTTTGCATAGAATTTGCCAGGAAATGACCGCCAACCTCGGAACTGGTTGCGTTGAGTTGCATCATGGATACTGGTGGCCGCCTTTGCCTCCTCATGTGCATTTCTAACCTGTACCCATAACTTAATTCCTTTCCACTTCTCACCCAGGGGTTCTCAGTGGGAGCAGAACCACCATCAGCACTCCCCAGTTGCACCCACATTCCCAGGGTAGCATTGTTAACAGAGACCAGGGACACTGCTGGCACCAGGCGGGTGGGGCCATCCATCACAACAGGATTCTCTCCAGTGCCTCTTGTCTTTGGAATGTTTTGCTGTCTATTTACATACACAAAGCATATGTGCCTCCAGCACCTGTGTTTTTACCTGTCATGTTTGTGGCTGTCCATGTAGTGCAAACAGCTGACCGTCTCATGCTATTGTCACGTTATGGTTGGGGCATTAGAGATGCACACTTTTTATGTGGTGTGGAAAGGCCATCTTGGACTTCTGACCTATGCATGCCAGACCCAAAGTGCCTGCCTGTCCTCCTTGCTTGTATTTGTTTTTGGACATGCTCATAGGACCTCCTGACTTGGTGGTCTCTAGCCCAGCCCTCATCTCATCCATCCCAAGTCCCAGAGGATCTGGCCCAGGTAAGTGTCTGCTCAAAGCCAAGAATGTAATTTCAGTATGGTGGGGTAAGCCTTAGTTGGATATGTAATTGACCCATGATCTGAAGGAACTACAGCTGCAGAGGGGAGGCCTGGCCACTGTGGGAAGTTTCTGGAGCATAGCAGCACTTTGGTTCACATGGACCAGAAGGTACCTCTTCAGCACTGGGAGGCAGAAGCATCCACGTTTCCCATGTGGGGTTTTGAATCCCAGCTCCACCGCCAGCCTGGTGTGTTACGTTGGGCGGGTCACTGCTCTGTTTGCACTTTGGTTTCTTCTCAATAAAGTGAGGACAGCGCCGATGACTCTACCAGATTGGTGCCTGTGAGAGGGTTAAATGAGGAAACCGTATAAAGTGCG